GTACCCCACTGAATGTTGCCAATACGTAATAACAATAATAATATTAATCATTATAATCATAATAATAACAATAATAATAATAAATATGTGTGTGTGTATATTAATATAAATAGCAGGAGTGTCTGTGGAAGAAGAAAGTCAAGGATTAAAGATTAACGGTACAAAAGTTGTTCGACCACTAAATCACTCGCTATAAATTACAGACTTGAACGAATGAATTAGCAGTATGACTTGCATATATTTAGAAAATTATACATAATATTTTCGACAAAGCATGAACACTGAGGTGACGTCAAGCGCGGAAGTGGTTGCATCAGCCACGAAACTGTTCTTGGAAAGCAGGGCAAGCAGTATCGGCTCATGAAGCACAGGCTGCTGCCGACTGCCGGCACTAATCCGCGACATGCCCAACAATGGAAAACTGTCTGACGCAACGTGTGGAACGTGATCTTAATTGTGATGCGCGGCGGAATGTATGATAAGCTTGTTGAATTACATTTGCACAAATTGCCTCTAATGCACATTAATTACCTAGACATACAAATAGACAGACGGAGCAGATTAACTATTCCAGACGCACAGACACACAGATTCGTGATACGTACAGTCAATTTCGTCCGATCCATCAGGGCAGTCTTTCTGCGCGTCGCACACCACGCCACGACCGGTGAATGCAGTCTCCGTTGAAGCAGGCAAACTCCCGATCGCTACACCTACGGGCAACGAAGAACAGAAACATCTCTCAAGCAACCATTATTTCAATGCAAACTGCAGACAACGACGACGACACGGACAATCGTCGACATGACGTGCCGACTTTCACTGAGAATTACCGTACATGAGAAGAAGATATGATGGATGAGTGTAATCAATGTAAGGCCGATGAAAGTTGATGTCATGGTTCTCGTCAGCGCCCGCATCAAATTTTACTCCCGCCATCAAAAAAGTTCAACACTCATCGCTGATGAAATTCCCGCCATCAAAAAGTCCCATATGAAATTCCCGCCTCAAAAAATCAAATCTACAGTCAGCACTACATGTATGGAAGACAAACAGTAAAAATTTGAGTAAAAACTGTCAACAAAGAAGTTATGACATTTTTCAACCTTATTTTGCATATGTACAAACAAGACCTGATACCCTCACTAAGTTCTATTGGTTTGTATATAAAAGATGAATGTTGATATAAATCCCTCATCAAAATCTCGAGAACCATGAAATCAACTTTCATCGGCCTAAAGCAACACTGTTGAGGGATAGCCCCTCCCCCACCCCCACCTAATAGAGAGGGAAAGCTGGGCCGCACGGAGACTTGACTTACTTAGACGGCACTGACGGAGTGGGGCAGTTAATTTCGTCGGTCTCATCCCTGCAGTCAGCGTCGCCGTCGCAGCGCCAGTTCAACGGGATGCACTGCGTGTCGTTGCACTGGAACTGGTCTGTGCAGTTGGTCATCGCTGCTGTGAAGAGAAGCCAGGTTAGTACCATCACACATTCACGCTGGAGGGAGAGCATGAACGAGGATCGTGCATTTATTATTTACGCATGCATATGCGTGCGTGCGTGCGTGCGTGTGGTGTGTGTATGCATGTATAAATACATAATAGATAGTTACATATATACATGATATACATATTCGGTGGCCCTATGGCAGTAGGTCCCTGTGGGCAGCCGTGTGGACGCGTGTGACATGACAAGATACAGGCATGTGGACACATCTTTTACAACAACTTGCCTTTTAGATTATGCTAGTGGCCAGATGTATTTTTGCCCCAAATAGAAAGATTGCTATCAACATATTGAGCCACGTGCATGAGCAGCACACCTGCCCTTGTCCACCCACCTGGCTCACTATAGTCAGCCCCTACCCTGCTGCAGGATGCTTCCTTGGCAATAGGCCAATTAGGGCATAGGCATGGACAGTCCCCAGTAATTACCCAAAGAATAGCAGCTGACCTACTTGTACCCTGGCACTCTGCCAAGCATTTTCTGATACGCATAATTATAAGCAGAAAGCGAGCAGGTGACAAACTACCCTTGCACGCGCGCGTGTATTCAACAACAAACCGTGTACACAATGACGCAGCGTAAGGGTTTTACGGGACCGTGACATAACGGTCAACCGGTGAATCACCCCAGCGCGCGCTGGACTATGCGTGTGAAGGAAAAATAACGGAGGAACAAGCACTTACATACGCAAACGCTTCCCACCAATACACAGCGACCATTTTACAATACTCTGACACAACGGTCAACCAGTAAGTCACCTTAAACCGATTATTGCGAGAATTTTCCAGTGTTTTCACCACTTTCATGACACCTAGCGTTATTGCTTGAGTAACAGCAATTGTCTAGAGTAACAATAAAATGTCTTAGAACCTTCGTATTCATCAAAAACTGCCAGTTTCGAACTAGTTTCATAAACATTCGTTTTCTGTTATCTTGAACTAGACGGAAGTGTGGATTAGCTTGTGTCGCCACCGCTTATCTGCCATAGACAAAGCATGGCTCTCTCAAATCATGCACTTGTTTTCAATTAATCACCAACACAAATTAAGTTTACCAATTCTGCCATTTAGGCATTGTCGCGACACGATAAAATGCATTGCTGTTACGATGTGTTCATATCCAATTTTCTATGCTATAACTGCATAAAATCTTAGTATTTTTAATGTTGGTGTAATAATAAGTGATATTTTCGCTGTCAGGTGAGACTATACTCAGCTATATTTAGTTTTTCTGAGCAAAAATCTCGCAATAGTCATTTTAACGCATGGCAGACTACGCATGCATGAAGGAAAAGTAACTGAGGAACCAACACAATAAATATGCGAATGCTTGCCCCAGTACACAGCGACCATTTTCACCCACACGAACACTCCGGCCACTAATGTTTCGCGTTCTTGATACTGCATCGACTATGGACCCCACCGGACCGCGATCTCAAGGGCCTGCAATTTTGGGGTTACCGACGCGAGCGTTGCCGTGGCGCCATCGTCACGGCGACGTAACTCACCACATTGCTCGTCCTCGTCGCTGCCATCGCCGCAGTCGTCGTCCTTGTCACAGACCCAGCGCTGGCTGATGCAGCGCTTGTTGGTGCACTGGAACTCATTCGGCGCGCACGATGTCTCACCTGAACAAGAGCGAGAGAGAGCGCGATGAGAGAGAGAGAGAGAGGAGGGAGAGGGAGAAATAGAGAGAGCGAGAGAGCGAGAGAGCGAGAGAGAGAGAGAGAGAGAGAGAGAGAGAGAGAGAGAGAGAGAGACAGCGAGAGAGTGCGAGAGAGCGCGATGACAGAGAGAAAGAGAGCGAGAGAGAATGAGAGGCGCGTGATGTAGTAGCAGCAAAACGAAACCGAGACAGCCCAACATGAAAAAAATTCCCCCTCGCCTATACCGACGCCGTTTCTCTGTGTTACAGAGCAGGCATCGCACGGCTACGAGCGACCGCATAGCCCACTCTCAAACCCTCTTCTACTCCACCCAAAACGCAGCTCATACCGATACGTTGCTAAAAGCTCTGAATGGGCGCCCTGAGGGTGCAAAATTAGCAGCGGCCCACCGGCATATGCCAACAAATTATTTGGAGGCCGGTAACATGCAAAACACCGCCCTCCGAGCAGGTGCTTCAGCCTGTTAGCGAGTACTACATTTTTATTTATAGTCTAACATTACTGCTTTACCTGAAGATCGAAATCACCGCCCCATCGTTATCAACATTTTACCAAATTTGAAATCCAGATGCAAGGTGAAATAAAAAAAAAACATGACATTGGTTTTACAAAACAAAATTTTGAGGGCTAGTAAATTCATTATGAGCGGCTGTAAAAAATTGCTTACCAGCCCTCTGGGCGGGGCCGGTGCCTAAAAAAAATCTTAATTTCGTGCCCTGGCGCCCCTACACCCACCAAGATTCGCGCGAAGCGAGGCGAGCTGTACCCACGCAGTCCTCCTCGTCGGAGCCGTCCGGGCAGTCGCCGTCATCCGTCGCAGCGCCACGCCGCGGGGATGCAGGCGCCGGGCGGTGCCGTGCACGCAAACTCCTCGTCGGCTTGCACTGCTTGTTCCCTGCGGAACACGGCGGCGGTACAGAACGACGATGCGCGGGGAGGGAAGGCAACAGGGGCAGCAGCTACAAGAACAAGCAACTGCAGGGAGGGAAGCAAATAGAGGGGTGCAGCTACAGAACGAGCCGATGCATCAGGGGAGGGAAGGCAATAGGGTGGCAGCTACAAGACGGTGCGATGCACGGGGAGGGTAAGTCAACAGGGGCTGCGGTTACAAGAACGAGCGATCTGCGCTGGCGGGGGAGAAGCAACAGGGGCAGCAGCTACCAGAAAACAAAGCAACGTGCAAGGAGGGAAGGCAATTAGGGGGGCTAGTACACAAACTGAGCAGCATCACGGGGAGGGATAAGCAATAGGGGGTGCGCTAGCTAGACAACGGCTGCGATGCACGGGGGGGAAGCACAAGGAGGCGCGCGGTACAGAACTGAGCGATGCGCGGGGAGGAAAGGCAACAGGGCAAGCAGCTACAGGAACGGGCAACGCGCGGGGGAGGGGAAGGAAAAGCAGGGGGCAGCTACAGTAACGAGCGACGTGCAGGGAGGGGAGCAACCCAGGGTGGCAGCTACAGAAACGAGCGACAGCGATGGGAGGGAAAACAGGGTGTGCACTACAGAACAAGCGACGTGCAGGGAGGGAAGGCAAAGGGGGTGGCAGCTACAAACGACGGTTGTAATGCGGACTGGGGAGGGGAAGCAATAAGGGTGGCAGCATACAGAAGCGTATGCACGGGGGAGGGAAGGCAACAGGGCGGCGCTACAGAATCACAGCGATCCGCGGGGAGGAAGGCAACAGGGGGCGGTCAGGCTACAAGAACGAGCGATGTGCGCGGGAGGGAAGCAACAGGGGGCTGGCGGTTACAGAACGGCGATGCGCGGCAGATGGGGAAGACACAATAGTGGGGCGCAGCTATCAGTTAACGAGCGACGCAGTGGAGGAAACAAAGGGCGGCGCTACAGAACAAGCGACGCGCAGGAGGGGAGGCACAGGGGTGGCAGCTACAGCAACGAGCGACGCGTGGGGAGGGAATGGAACAGGGGTGTTCAGTCTACAGAACGGCAATGCGCGTTGGGGAGAAAGCCTACATGGGCGGCGGTTAGCAGAACGAGCGATGCGCGGGGGAGGGGAGGCAACAGGGGCAGCAGCTAACAGAACCGAGCCAATGCGGCGGAGAAGACACAGGGGCGGCGAGCTAAATAAACACAAAAAAGCAAGCAACGAGAGAGAAAAAGGGTGGAGGCAACAGGGTCGGCGTTACAGAATAAGCGATGCGCGGGGAGGGAGGCAACAGGGTGGGCCAGCTATGCAGAACGAGCGATGCACGATGGACGGTGGAAGAGCACAAGGGGGTGGCAGCTACAGAACAGCAACGAGAGAGAGGGGAGGCAACAGACGGCGTTACAGACAAGCTGATGCGCTGGTGGGAGTGGAGCTAACAGGGGCGGCGCTACAGAACGAGCCGATGCAGTGGGAGGCGGAAGGCAAACAGGGCAAGCAGCTACAGAAATCGCCGAAGCGGCGGGGAGTGGAAGACAACAGGTGGCGGCAAGCTAACAGAACGAGCGATTGCGCGGGGGAGGGGAAATAACAGCGCGGCAGCTAAGAAACGAGCGATCGCAGGGTGGCAGCTTACAGAACGGAGTGAGCGGCGGGTGGGAGGGGAAGGCAATCAGTGGGGTCGCGCAGCTACAGAACAAGCAATGCGCGAGGGAAGGGAAGGCAACAGGGGGGCAGCAGCTACACAACAAGCAATGCGCAGAGGGGGCGAAGGCAACAGGTGTGGCGGCTACATAACTTGGGCATGTCGCGAGAGGGAAGGCAAACTAGGGTGTGGCGCTACAGAACCGACGCGAGTCTGGAGAGGGGAAGGCAACAGGGGTGGCAGGCTACATTGAACGGGCAAATGCGCGGGGGGGGGGAAGGCAACGAGGGGGCGGCGGCGCTTACAGAAACCGAAGCGACGTGCGAGGAGGGGGAGGCAACAGGGGTGGCAGCTAACAGAACCGAGCGATGCGCGGGGAGGGAAGGCAACAGGGGTGGGAAAATCAGCTACAGAAGCGGGCATGTGCGCGGGGGGGGGGTGGGAAGGCACCAGGGGCGGCGGCTACAGAACAAGGCGACGTGCAGTGGAGGGGAAGCAACAGGGGTGGCTAGTCTACAGAACGAGCGATGACCGGGAGGGATTGGCAATCAGGGGTGGCAGCTGACAGAACGAGCGATGCTGCGCGGGGAGGGAAGGAAACAGGGCAAGCAGCTACAGAACGAGCGAGCGGCGGGGTGAGGGAAGGCAACAGGGGGCGGCAGCTACAGAACGAGCGATGCACAGGGAGGGGAAAGCAATGGAGGCTTCCTTATATCGGAGAAGAGCGCCGATTCAAGTTTGATTTCGTGTGGCCACTAACTCTATCTAGAATCACGACAGGATGAGAGTTGGGGGTCCAGCACATACATGAATGTGGGTTAGGATTAAGTTAGAGTTAGAGTTAAGGTTAGGATTTATATGGCTAGGGATATGATCACAGCTATGAAGACAATGACTCACATGCGGGGACCCTAAATTAGGACTGAGGTCCAAAACTATAATTGAGCAATGAGTTGGGGGTGGGGTGGGGGGGAGGTAATGCAGGAGCCTCCATACATAAGTTAAGATTAAGTGAGGGTTACTTAGTATCAGGTCTACGATGATGATTTATTTTATAGGGTTGGACCGAGCAAATGAGAGCAGGGGGTCGACTCCTCTGTAGAAGCCCATACATACACAGGAATACCTCGTTATTAAGTTAGGGCACATACGGATTGGACATCAGTAACATTGCCGGTACACCACCACCGATTTATGCCAGTCCACATGCAGGACCGAACGGAGACTTTAGAAGAAGCCGCATGAGCGGCGTGCTATTAATAGCTACTCACTGCACTGCTCGGCATCCTCGTCACTGTTGTCACCGCAGTCGTCCTCCTTGTCACATGTCCAGCTCACCGGGATGCAGCGTCCGCTCTCACAGGTGAACTCACCATCCGAGCACGTCTCCACGGCTACACGGAGGAAGAAAACACAGATACGTGGTCATTATTCACTCCAACGCCCGTGCAGAAAATAGCATCGCTACTCTACTTTTATTTGAGCTGGCAGATGGCAGCACATGACCACGCCACCAAGGATAATCGATCCATTTCGCTTCCAGCCATCCCCGTCGGTGCTCATCTGCTGATCTCGCCCTGTAGAAACTCAATACTGCAGAAAACGTGCGCTAGTTATGGCTGAAGGAACGGCTGCGCGCGGAGAAAAATATTGTTAAATCAGATACGACTTCTACTAAGCCGGATGTTTCTTTGACATATATATATATAGCGGAGAAAAATATTGTTAAATCAGATACGACTTCTACTAAGCCGGATGTTTCTTTGACATATATATATATATATATATATACATTTACATACACCCACTCGGACCCACTGGATATAAACAATTTTTTTAGTGCATCACACGAAATCTGCACACCAAGCCAAATGCCCACTATCTCGGAAATATTTTCCTGCAGAGTTGCAAAATCTGAAAGAGATAGATACATCCGGAAGGATGAGCTTGAGCACATTAACACTGGAATGCATGGTTGTGCAAGAGTAACACATCATTACCAATTACGAACGCCAAGTAGTACTTCCCATGTTACGCAACACACCACCTACTTCGCACCACGCTTAATTGACCTTACCATTGTCTACGCACAGCGGTCAGTGTTGTAGACGGTTATAGGCGCTATTTCTGCTAGACTCACAGTTCTAGCTCATTCACTGGATCACATTACGAGCTAATCGCTCAACTGAAGGTTATACGAGAGGAGGACTATGAAGCACTATATGTATTTGCACTTACAATATAGGCATTCATCGCATTACACGTTCCATCACACTATATATAATAATCACACAAACAGATTCGGAATAACTTTAGCGAAAGTACGAATTTTTTTGTAGACAAAAAAACACGATCGCAGATCGATCAATAATATGCAAATTAGCCGGCTTCGCTGCTGGCTCTAAGAAGGGTCAAATGTGAATCACGGTCGATCGGTCGTGGGTCATTAACCCATGTACGTGGCTAGGAAAGGGGGAGAAGAAAAGCGGAAGAAGAAATGGGAGGGGGAAGAAACAAATGGTAATAGGAAAGAAAGGAGGGGAAGGATGAGGAGGAGAGGAAAAGAAACGGGAGGAGAGAAGAAACTAGGAGGAGAAGGAGGAAGAGGAGGGGGGAGGAGGAGGAGGAGGAGGAGGAGTAGCGAGAAAAGGGAGGCAAAGGGAAGAACGAAAACGGGGAACCAAAGATATTCCGCTTACGTATCTGGGATCGGTACCCAATATTGGTATCAATCAGGTACTCCTTGTGACAACCTTCTACCTGCACACTCAACCGTTATCATATTTTAAGGTGTGAACAGCGTGTATTTGTACTGATACCGCAGCACTTCCGCTGCGATACACACACATGTGGTTAGATACACGAACAACCATTCCGATAGCCGCGTGACACACTATCAGTTCTTATAGACTGCTTGATTACCTTGATCGCTTGATGTTGCTTGTGCACACATAAACGTCTAGACAAGACCGTTTGAATAGAAACTGTAAATCATGTACATGAGTAATCGTGTGGTGGAGTGTGGTGGGCGAGCCGGAGATAGGCAAGCAGGCAGAGGCAACAGACTAGCGTCATTAAATACATTTCAGAGTATGTTGAGATACACTCGACTTGTGCATGCACGGATAGTTTTATTTGCTTCGAATAGCCGCACACAAATATGCTAACTAGTTACACTATCCGAGGAGTTCCTTTAACATTAATGAACTGTTTCTATTCCAGCCCGATCTAGTACACGATTTAATATTAGCGCAGGTTTGGATGCTTTCATTCGAGCAATCTAATGCGATATTTACATTTTACAACACACTGCTCCGTACACCTAATCAAGAGCATATAAAGAAGACTTTATCAAGAGTATATACCTTCTTTATATGCTCTTGACCTAATTAAACTACACGTACGACATCTATTAATACTCGCTGCGTCTGGACACCAGCGCACATTTTCAATATCGATTACAGAGTTTCTTAGGAGGGTACAGTGATGAAGTGGGCTGGAATTTTGCAAAAACCCTGAGAAGGCGGCTGTGCAAATATGTTTTTATTTCCCCCCAAACAACTCGGTTGGAACGTTGCCAGCAGACAGTGCAACATCAGGCGTTCCGCAGCAACCAATCACAGCCGAGAAAGCCTCGCGTCAATACCAACATGCCACGCGCTACAACCGCAGCCCACACGGCGTTGTTACTCACAAGGGATGCTACACGAGGATGCACGACACGGGGGGATGGGGCGCATGCATCATAACCCAGGCTACACACAAATCTACGGCACTCGCGCTGATGCTGATGCAAGCAGCGGCAGATGCTGGCGAAGCTGGCACGGAAGTAGACATGACCGATTAGCGATTATTGTTAGTGTGTCACAGATCTCGGCCGCCAGTGGTCACAGCACGGGCCATGAGGAATACCCCCCTACCCCCACTAACACCACGTGCACTACATTAGTGCTGATGACACCGATACTGATGCAGGGACGCTGCACATACACACAAACACATACGTACACACACACATACGCATATTCGCACACGCGCGCGCACGCACGCACGCACGCACGCACGCACGCACGCACACACACACACACACACCGCCGCGAATTTTAAAATCGCTCGAAAAAATCGCCCGTGTGCCCGTTCACGCCGATTTTAATCGCCCGACCGAATCGCCCGTATCCAATATGTTAGATATTTTTGGGCGATTATTTACGCCGGGCGATTATTATCGCTCGTGTGCCCGTTACCGGCGTATTTTGTCGCCCGATCGATTTTTCTAAACCAATCGGACGTGTTGTTGATATCATGTGATGTTAAATGTTCTGTCGAGTGGCGCACGCGTACGCTCTCAAATTCGCTACGTCACGTGTGCCCCTTCGTGATCGGGCGATAAAAATCGCTACGTGTGCCCCTTCGTGATCGGGCGATTAAATTCGCTGGCAATTTTAATCGCCGCGATCGGGCGATAAAAATCGCTCGTGTGCCCCTAGCATTACGGCTCATCCATCCTCTCCCACCTGGCCGGGTAACACGGGATCATGTTTTTACGAAGAACAAACACGATAGCTAACTACGGCTAATTTTAATTCGGATTAAAAAATCTCGGTAGCTATACTTGTCCCGTTAGAACAACGAGGTTTGCCGAGATACGTCGCCATGTATGGATGGCGGTGGGAAACGAGCGTGGGCGCCGAAACAACGAGAGCAAAGACAATGTCAGCAGGAGCAACTTGTCAGACAGCCAATTAACAAATGTCATGTAACCGGCTATCGTTTCAAACGGGATTAGACAGAAGTTGAACTATGAACGCGGTCACAAACACTAACCTATCTGTGAAGCAGCATAGCAGGCAAGTTTGGGACACTGAACTCGGAAGCTTTATTTACTTAGCAGCGGGCCGACAGACCCATATATACTTCCCTGTTCCCAGATGAAGTAATAGCGCTCACGAATTGCAATATATATATATATATATATAATTATATATACTCTCGAAATGGAAATATATTTAGACAAATATATTTAGAGATTTGGAATTACCAGAAATATATAGCAGACGCTATATAGATCTGTGGGAGATTGGTATAGTTTGATTAATGTTTGGTGTCGCCGATACAGCCAGTGCTGTTATTGCTGATCTATATCCTCACACAGATAAGGTACATGAAGAGGTACGCGCGTGCTAGCAGATAGCAAGGCGGCTCTATGCCTATCTGTGCAAATTTTTTTTGAACTCATTCAATTAAAAAGGGCAGTCTATTTGCAGACTATGCTTTTTCAACCTCCTCTAGCTACCACGGGGAAGAAAAACATACTAGGTTGCCTAAAACATTGGCAGAACTCCTATTTATTACTCAATCTTGCGCGCCTCTTTTATAAGCATATATTATTTACTTTGGCTGGGTACTAATATAATTTATTGCATCTTCGCCCTGCATGATACTATTAAAAGCATCTACTCTTTGTTTTCACAATGGCACCTGGATTTCGTCGCGTGTACGCGCGTGTGTCTCGCACATCATTGTCACCATGACGGCATCCACGCTTCTTTCTACCACTTCGATCATCTAGTTGATCATACCTCCGCCTCCGCAAATAATATAATCGCGCCACAATTGACTCTCAGCCATTGTTCCGGCGAATCGCGCGTTGCGAGGGCGCCCCGATGAGCTAAAGCCGATCGGGTGGCATAACATTACGGCATTAGATTGGGGCACCCGGCTGTGAAACGTGTGGATGCTCGCGCAACGACTGCCTCCCTTCCTCCTCCCCCCTGATTGCCGTAATTGCATTAATTGCAGAGTTGCGTTCTGACCGGTCGCACGTAATCGGGCTGCCTGCCGACGAACACGTATACAGCCGAACAAGGGGATAATGAGGGAGCTACTGGCCCCACAATGCACGGTCAATATTTACTCCGCTTGTAATCGTGTCTGGAAGCAGACAAGGTAACCCGCGAGTTGCCGCTGATTAGTTGGCCAATCTAGCCGCATAGCCGCTGGTCAACAACACTTCCTTCTAGACAAACGGCGATGTGAGCGCGCCCGACAGCCACCGTCCACTACCGCGCATTGTCGGCGGCATATTTGCACCTCCGCGTCACCTATCAAATAGGAACACCGCCACAATGCGGCTCCGTGAAGATACACACGCAGCCGCGGATACAAGAGCGCGCGGACGTGAAGCAGGGGCGATGTGGACGGATAAGGAGAGTTGCGCGGGAGAAAAGAGATGCTCTACAGTGCAGCTGCACGGGTTATAGGTAAAAGAAGGGCTCTGCGCGAAGAACAAAGGTTAGGGGGGGAGTGCGTGATGGTTAATGGCGGAGAAGACTCGCCCGTGTAGCTGATAAGACATTGCGACTGCAGCTGCCCGCTCTCTTTCCCCCTTCTCCCT